GTCTCCCTCCGATTTACGTGCATCTCCGCACCAATCGGCTTTCCTCCATCTCTTAGTTTAAAAACTGCTCTACGGCCTTTTTAATGTTTAGTTCCAGCAGTCTGGTTCCACCCTGGTTTAGGTGGAGCCCATCCTTCCTGTATAGGCTCCCCCTCTCCCAAAAGTGTCCCCAGTTCCTAATAAATCTAAACCCCTCTTCCCTTCGCCATCGTCTCATCCACGCATTGAGACTCTGAAGCTCTGCCTGCCTACTTGGCCCTGCGCATGGAACTGGAAGCATTTCCGAGAATGCCACCATAGAGGTCCTGGATTTCAGTCTCTTTCCTAGCAGCCTAAATTTGGCCTCCAGGACATCTCTCCTACCCTTCCCTACGTCATTGGTACCTACATGTGCCATGACCACCGGCTCCTCCCCAGCACTACACATAAGTCTATCTAGATGCCTCGAGAGATCCGCAACCTTCGCACCAGGCAGGCAAGTGACCATACGGTTCTCCCAGTCATCACAAACCCAACTACCTATGTTTCTAACGATCGAATCACCCACTACTAACACCTGCCTCTTCCTAACTGGCATTCCCTCCCGCTCAGAGGTATCCTCAGTGCGAGAGGATACCGCAACATCCTCTGGGAGGAGGGTCCCAACTACGGGATGGTTTCCCTCTGCTCCTTATAGTAGCCCCATCTAAGTTGTATTTGCCTAGTTTATTTATAAGAATATCATGCAAGACCATATGAAATGCCTTACTAAAGTCTAGGTATACCACATCCACCGCCTCTCCCCTATCCACAAGAATACTGAACTATATTTGCCTTTTGTTCCCTCTGCTGCTGCCCAATTCCATACTTCCGGTTCCAAATGAGGTGTATAGTTGACTGGTCAGTTTATAATCCTGCTGTTTGTAACTCTGAAGGATCTGCTGTAATAATAAACAGTCACGGGTGGGCACATTAAGAAAAAGTCCACTCAAAATTGAGTTGTTTGATTCAATGTTATTTACTTGGTGTGTTTTAACACAGAACAGTGACAATTTACCTCCTCATGGTTATAATTTTTCTGAATTTCAGCACTGATTGGCATTAAATAATTATTGTCTAGCACCCACATTTATCTCCCCCCTCATTTCCAGCAATGGTGAAAATTTAAATCAATAAATGTTAAAAAGTTGTTATAAATATTTTCCAGAGGAACCATAAATAATAAAAACTGAACTCTGACAAGTTGAAATAATAATAATAATAATTGAAACATTCAGCATCCAACTATAGTAGTAACAGTAGTCGTAGTAGGCTATGCCTACACTGCACAGTTATTTTGGAATAATTTTCATAAGAGTTAAAGGTTACGGGCTTTTACTTGCGAAGAGCACCAAGAAATATTCAACGGCAGCAAATGGACAGGACCATTGGTTTCATCTCATCCAAAAGCCAGCTGCTCTAGCCGTTTGGTGTCTCCAGGTAGCATACAGATCCACTGGCCCAACAGAGAGGGCATGCTATCTAACGAACCGCCATCGGCCCTTCCTAGGTGTTCTGTACTGGCAGGGGCGGATGAGAGTTTTGCGGGGCCAGGGCAGCGCAATTTCGCGGGGCCCCCTTTGGAGAAAAAATAGAAAAAATAGAAAAAAGGCATCCCCCCTGTGCCTACTCCTTCAGTAGCCCCACTCTGATCAGGTGAGCTACCCCCTCTCCTAACACCTTCCTCTATGCACCTGCCCTGCCTCTCTCCTCTGGTGCTGTTCTCTCCCCTGCAGGTTTCTGTCCTTCTGCTTCACCCCCAGAATCCCTTGGCACCTGCACCCTCCCTTACCCCTGCACTTTCCTGGTGCCCCCCTTCCCTCACTGCTCCTGCCCCCTTTTTCCCTGATGCCCATCCCCTCACCACTCTGCCCCCATTCCCCTCATGCCCCTGTGCCTTTTTCACATGACTTGCTCCATCCCCGCCTTCCTCATACCCACCCCTTCTTCCTAGCCTTCTCCCAGCACCTCCCCTCACCCCTCTAGCCCCCAATGCCCTTACCCTCTCCTCTCCCATCATCACCCTGTCCCCTCTCCCACTGACACCTCCCCTCCTGCCCTTTTCCTCATTGTCTCCACTTGGCCCCCTGGGATTTGTCTCTCCTGCACCCCTGTCCCTTGGTGCCTTCCCCTTTCTTCTCTTGATCTGCCCCCCTCACCTCAGCACAAGCCCCTTCCTCAGCCATCCACCTTCTACCTTCTAGTTTGCAGGGCAGCAGTGACCCCAGCTAAGGTTCCAGAGCATGTGCCGAACCAAGCAGTGTAACACTGGGCGGCACGGTTTTAAAGTCCCAGGCCGTGACTTCATGGCACGCCCGGGCATCTCCCCTCTCAGCTATTGTGTGGCATTTCAGCATGCTGCGCATGTGCTGCCTCAGCCCCACATGGCCCGTACTGTCCGGCACCAGGGAATTTAAAGTGCAGGGCTATGGCGCCCAGTCACAATCCCCCTCCTCCTCCAGCAGCTGCCAGCTGGCCCTTCAGTGAATGGCCAACTGGGAAATACCCGATATTCCAGATTAGTTATTCCGAAATAGTATATTTTAAAATAGTACATCTACACAGCAGGGAAGTCTCAAAATTAACTGAGGGCTGGCTTCCCTAATGTAGACATGCTATCTCAATTTAGAGCCCCAGGAGGAATAACTTAGAACAGCCCTGGTGAGGGGCTATTTTGAAATAGCAGATATGGAGCAGCTACCCAGCCCCTATGTAACTATTTCGGAATAGGTGTTATTCTTCATCGAATGAGGTCTACAGAAGTTGACTGGACTTGATGACCTTCTGAGGTCTCTTCCAGTTCTATGGTTCTATGATTCTAAGTGGGAATAAGCCATCCATTATTTCAAAATTAGATGCTTACACAGTTATTTCGGAATAACAACTGTTATTCCAAAATAACTTTGCTGTGTAGACACACCCATAGTAATATGCTGAATGTTTCAATCATTCTTTTCCTCTAGGTGAAGTTCATCTGGCAACAAAGTGTAAAGGGAACCAAACAGCCATCACAGAATTCATAATCTTGGGATTCTCAAGTTCTGAAAAAGTCCAGGTTATCCTCTTTTGTGCCTTTTTAGCCACCTACCTTGTGACAGTTGTTGGGAACCTCCTCATCCTGGTGACGGTGTTGGTTGACCGCAGTCTCCACACCCCGATGTATTTCTTTCTGGGAAATTTATCCTTCCTGGAGCTCTGGTATGCGACAAACCTTGCCCCCAGGCTGCTCTCTGGCATGGTAACCAAGGACAACACGGTATCGTTCACAGGCTGCATGGTGCAGTGCAACCTCTTTGGTGCCCTGGCAGTGGCTGAATGCCTCCTCCTCACCGTGATGTCCTATGACCGCTATGTAGCCATTTGCCAGCCACTGCATTACATGGCTCTCATGGACAGCAAGGTCTGCACTCTATTAGCAGCTGGGTCCTGGGCCAGTAGCTTCCTAGGAACATCGATAATCGTGGGTTTGCTCTCTAACTTCCGTTTCAGTGGCCCCAATGAGATTGACCATTTCTTTTGTGACATCACTTCCCTGATCAAGCTCTCCTGCTCCGTCACGCGCCTGTTCGAGAGCATGGTTTTCGCTTTCTCTGCAGCCGTGTCACTGATCCCGTTCCTCCTAATCCTGGCATCCTACGTCTGCATCCTCAGGGCCATCCTGGGCATCCCTTCCACCACAGGCAGGCAGAAGGCCTTTTCCACCTGCTCCTCCCACCTCATCATCGTTAGCGTCTTCTACGGGACACTGATTGCAATGTACGTGGTGCCTCCGTCGGACCGCTCACTGGTGCTCAGCAAGGTCATCTCGCTGCTCTACACGGTGGTGACCCCAGCGCTGAACCCCATTGTCTACAGCTTGAAGAACAAGGAAGTTCAGGAGGCTCTTAAGAGGTGGCTTAGTGCAGTATCAGCTCCCACAAGAGCACTGTGAAGATGTCTTCTTGTCCCTTTTTAATTATTTTTAATCAAATATGGGCTCAATTAATATCTCTAACTATATATTTCCAGTTGTTATGAACTGCCCCTTCTATTAAAGAATTAATATCTCTAACTATATATTTCCAGTCGTTATGAACTGCCCCTTCTATTAAGAGGCTTTGTCTACATTATCGACAAAAGCCTGTAGTCTAGACGTACCCCTGGAGCTGAAACCTTGGGCAGGGCGGGCAGGGCTCTGAGGTGGCATCACGTTCTATCTATCTGTCTGTCTGTCTGCCTCTCTCTCCCCCCATACACACTCTCTCTCTCTCTATTTATCTATCTATCATAGATTTCAAGAAATTAAAAGACTATTGTGATAATCTAATCTGCCTGTTAAACTCAAGCCATAGAAATTCTTCAAAATGATTGCTAGAGCAGATATTGCAGAAAAAAAATGAATTGTCAACAATGGGAACTCCATCACCACCCTTGATAAATCGTTTCCATGGTTAATTAAAAATTAATGATTTATTTCCAGTCTGCCTCTATAACCATAGTGTGTGATGATAAAAAGCTATTCAAGAGAGTTCATTCCAAAGCAAAGTGCAAAGAGCTATAAAGGGATCTCATAAAATTGGGTGACCAGACAATAAAATAGCAGGTGAGACTCAGTGCTGAAAAATATAAAGTAATGCATACTGGAAAATTCCCTCTGCCGATCTGGCTAATCTACATGCCTCCGTCGACGGAGGCATGTAGTTTAGACACACCCTCAGTGTACAGCAGCAGTCAAAACCATGGCTAGTTCTCTGAAAACATCCACTCAGTGTACAGCGGCAGTCAAAACCATGAACAGAATGTTGGGAATCATTATGAAAGGGATAGGGAATAAGATGAAAAATATCATATTGCCATAGTGTAAATTCAAGATATACCCACATCTTGAATATTGTATGCAAATGTGTTTGCCCCATCTCAAAAAAGAGATATTGGAATTGGAAAAGGTTCCAGAAAAGGCACACTATGATGAGGGGTATGGAATAGCTTCCGTAAGAGGAGTTATTACTCAGACTCTGACTTTTCAGCTTGGAAAAGAGACAACTAAGGGGGATTTGATAGAAAATCATGACTGGTATGGAGAAAGTACAGAAGGAAGAGTTATTTACTGCTTTTCGTAACACAAGAAATAAAGGTCACACAACATTCAGTCCATCTGTGGAACTACTTGCCAGATGATATTGTGAAGACCAGGACTTTAACAGGATTCAGAAAGAGTTTAGGGTATGTCTACACTGCCACCCTAGTTCAAACTAAGGTGGCTAATGTAGGCATTTACATATCCTGGGCTTCATTTGCATCTTGCTGCGCGCCGCCATTTTTAAATCCCTGTTAGTGTGGACTCCGTGCCCACGGCTACACTCGGCACGGAGTAGGTAGTTCGAATTAGGCTCTCTAATTCGAACTACCATTACTTCGCGTGAGTTTTAGTTCTAGCACCTCTAGTGACTCTGCCAAGCCTGCCCATCGCTGTCTTAACAATGGATTATCAATTCCAAGGCCGGAAGGGACAATTGTTCCAATCTCGTCCGGCTGTGTGCATAGCGCAGGGCGTAGCACGTTCCCAGTGTCGGAGAAAGAGTCTGAAGCATGGACCTAATGCTTGAACCAAAGAGTTACACTCTGAGTAACAGGCCATGTCACAAGCAGAGGTTTCCCTGCTAGTAGGGCAGTACAGGGACACCCCTCTGAGCACATGATAAAATAGTTGGAAACAACAGGAGTGAAAGCAGAACAGGCAGTGAAGGCTTTGGACAAAAGTCCCAGGGAAGGTACCAATCGTACCATTAACACGTAAGATGAAACGTACAGTGTGTATCATAGATTGTGTATTTCTGTCTATAAATCTTGGGGCACCTCGATGTAACTCTTTGGCTGGCCTAGGGGGCGATAGTGAATCCATACTATGCATTAAGCCGTGTCCATTACAAACACGTAGGGGCCAGAGGCCATCTGGCTACCGCCTAATATTCACGTGCTTCATTCAACAATAAACCTGCCTCGGGTGCCTTTGTATCTTACCTGAGTCTGTGCTCTTTGGGGCGCAGGTGAGGTCTGTTTGCTAGCCCCTGTGCAGAGCTGGCAGGACGTATTGAAGGAGCGCATGAAAACGCACCCAGCCGAACGTTTATCATCACTCATGGAACAGGAGACCTGTCAGGACACCGCACTGGTGAACCCGAAATGTATTGTATCGCTGTCCTGAACACTACGCCCAGAACAGTGCACAGAAAATTTGTCACGTCTAGGAGTTACCTACACCGGGGTGGGTGAATCTGGCCCCCCGCTTTTCAGGATCTGGCCCCTGAGGCTTCCCCTCCCCCCGCCAGCACTGGGGAGGTGGGGCTGGGGCTCCCAGCCTGCAGGTCTCCCACCCCCAGCCCACTACTGCACCTCCTCTCTGCTCCTGCACCCTCCCTCCAGCCCAGCCCTTCCACCCCCAGCCTGCTCCTCCGCCCTCCCCCTCCCAGCCCTTCCCCCCCCAGCCTGCTCCTCCGCCCTCCCCCTCCCAGCCCTTCCCCCCCCAGCCTGCTCCTCCGCCCTCCCCCTCCCAGCCCTTCCCCCCCCAGCCTGCTCCTCCGCCCTCCCCCTCCCAGCCCTTCCCCCCCCAGCCTGCTCCTCCGCCCTCCCCCTCCCAGCCCTTCCCCCCCCAGCCTGCTCCTCCGCCCTCCCCCTCCCAGCCCTTCCCCCCCCAGCCTGCTCCTCCGCCCTCCCCCTCCCAGCCCTTCCCCCCCCAGCCTGCTCCTCCGCCCTCCCCCTCCCAGCCCTTCCCCCCCCAGCCTGCTCCTCCGCCCTCCCCCTCCCAGCCCTTCCCCCCCCAGCCTGCTCCTCCGCCCTCCCCCTCCCAGCCCTTCCCCCCCCAGCCTGCTCCTCCGCCCTCCCCCTCCCAGCCCTTCCCCCCCCAGCCTGCTCCTCCGCCCTCCCCCTCCCAGCCCTTCCCCCCCCAGCCTGCTCCTCCGCCCTCCCCCTCCCAGCCCTTCCCCCCCCAGCCTGCTCCTCCGCCCTCCCCCTCCCAGCCCTTCCCCCCCCAGCCTGCTCCTCCGCCCTCCCCCTCCCAGCCCTTCCCCCCCCAGCCTGCTCCTCCGCCCTCCCCCTCCCAGCCTCTCCCACCTCCAGCCTGCTCCTGCCCCTTCCCCCACTCCCAGAACCCCCAGCCCCCAGCCCCCCCCTGCCCCTCCCCCCCCCAGCCCACTACTGCGCCTCCTCTCTGCTCCTGCGCCCTCCCTCCAGCCCAGCCCTTCCACCCCCAGCCTGCTCCTGCCCCTTCCCACACTCCCAGAACCACCAGCCCCCAGCACCCTCCTGCCCCTCCCCCCCCCAGCCTTTCTCACCCCCAGCCTTCTCCTGCACCCTCCCCCTCCCAGCCTTTCTCACCCCCAGCCTTCTCCTGCACCCTCCCCCTCCCAGCCTTTCTCACCCCCAGCCTTCTCCTGCACCCTCCCCCTCCCAGCCTTTCTCACCCCCAGCCTTCTCCTGCACCCTCCCCCTCCCAGCCTTTCTCACCCCCAGCCTTCTCCTGCACCCTCCCCCTCCCAGCCTTTCTCACCCCCAGCCTTCTCCTGCACCCTCCCCCTCCCAGCCTTTCTCACCCCCAGCCTTCTCCTGCACCCTCCCCCTCCCAGCCTTTCTCACCCCCAGCCTTCTCCTGCACCCTCCCCCTCCCAGCCTTTCTCACCCCCAGCCTTCTCCTGCACCCTCCCCCTCCCAGCCTTTCTCACCCCCAGCCTTCTCCTGCACCCTCCCCCTCCCAGCCTTTCTCACCCCCAGCCTTCTCCTGCACCCTCCCCCTCCCAGCCTTTCTCACCCCCAGCCTTCTCCTGCACCCTCCCCCTCCCAGCCTTTCTCACCCCCAGCCTTCTCCTGCACCCTCCCCCTCCCAGCCTTTCTCACCCCCAGCCTTCTCCTGCACCCTCCCCCTCCCAGCCTTTCTCACCCCCAGCCTTCTCCTGCACCCTCCCCCTCCCAGCCTTTCTCACCCCCAGCCTTCTCCTGCACCCTCCCCCTCCCAGCCTTTCTCACCCCCAGCCTTCTCCTGCACCCTCCCCCTCCCAGCCTTTCTCACCCCCAGCCTTCTCCTGCACCCTCCCCCTCCCAGCCTTTCTCACCCCCAGCCTTCTCCTGCACCCTCCCCCTCCCAGCCTTTCTCACCCCCAGCCTTCTCCTGCACCCTCCCCCTCCCAGCCTTTCTCACCCCCAGCCTTCTCCTGCACCCTCCCCCTCCCAGCCTTTCTCACCCCCAGCCTTCTCCTGCACCCTCCCCCTCCCAGCCTTTCTCACCCCCAGCCTTCTCCTGCACCCTCCCCCTCCCAGCCTTTCTCACCCCCAGCCTTCTCCTGCACCCTCCCCCTCCCAGCCCTTCCCCCCCCAGCCTGCTCCTAGCCCTCCCCCTCTCAGCCCTTCCACCCCCCGCCTGCTCCCAGCCCTCCCCCTCTCAGCCCTTCCACCCCCAGCCTGCACCTGCCCCTTCCCACACTCCCAGATCCACCAATCCCCCACACTCTAAGCCCAAATCCTGGCAGCTCTCTCCCACACTGAACCCCTCATTGGGCCCCCCCCTCCCCGAGCCTGGGGAGGCTGTGCGAGGGGAATGAGGGGAGGCTTCTGCTTCTCGGTCAGGGGGGTTTCTGTCTTGGGGGGGTTGCTTCTCCCTCCTGTGTAGCTCCTGACTGATTTTTCTGTGGCTTTGTGACCCCAGGCCCAATGAAGGTTTCTCACCTCTGACTGGACAAAGGCCAAGACTCCATTAAATGGAGCCAGGACTTTGCTAGTCTCATGGGTTTGCTGTTGCACCTGCTCATGTGGCAGCAACATGATGGGGACCCCGAGGGGTTTTGCACACTCAGAGCACATGGCGGGGGAGAGATTTACCCTGCGATTTGAATGCCGGCGGCCTCGGCTCTGGTGCTACCCTGTTCTCACACGCACCACCAGTGTGATTCCCTTGGGCGGGTACCTCGCTACATTCGCCAGCCACAGGGCCCCGGGGTCTCACCCACAGCACAGAGCCCTGCCTGCATCCAGAGCAGGAGCCGTGCCCTGCTGTGTGATGCAAACAGCCATGACAGACCCTTCCTGGCAGCAACGTGCAGGAGTCTTTCCGGGAGCCCAGAGGATGAGAGGAGGGAAGGTCACTGCTTCCCAATGAGGATTAAAGGTGAGTGAGACCAGTGACAACATGAAGCCTCGATTCTCTTCCTCAGCCCTTACGCCAAAGCCCTCTCCTCTTGGCTAATGCTCTTCCTCCCTGAAAGCTTCACCTCAATACCAACTTTGTTATCTCCTCATGACGGTCTGCCCAGGAAACTATCTACCCCCCCCCAGGACACCTGCCTGGCTTCTCTTTCTCCAGCTGCTTCCACGTCCCTCTACTTAGCTCTTTCCTACACAGTGACAGAGCCCTGTCCTGAACATCCTAAGCAATCCCTCCGTACATCACTCTTGGTTTCTATCCTCTGCTCCCTCACAGCCTTCCTGGAGAGTCACAATTTTCAAAAGCACCCAGCTTCCTTAAAACCCAATGATATCCAGCTCTGGGCACCACAGTTCAAAAAGATGTGGAGAAATTGGAGATCTAGAGAAGAGCAACAAAAATGATGAATGGACTAGAAACCATGAGCTTTGAGGGGAAGCTGAGAGAACTGAATTTGTTTGGTTTAGAAAAGAGAGGATGGCGGGGGGACATGAGAACGGTTTTCTAAAAGGGTGTCACAAGGAGGATGGGGAAAAATCGTTCTCCTTGGCCTCTGATGATAGGACAAGAAGCAATGGGCTTAAACCGCAACAAGGGAGGTTTAAGTTGGATATCAGGAAAAACTTTCTCACTGTCAGGGTGATTAAACACTGGAATAAATTGCCCAGGGAGGTTGTGGAATCTTCATCCCTGGAGATATTTAAGAGAAGGTTGGACAGACACTTGTCGGCGATGGTCTAGATGGTGCTTGGTCCTGCCGTGAGGGCAGGGGACTGGACAATTTATTCCAGTGTTTCACCACCCTGACAGGTAGAAAGTTTTTCCCAATGTCCAACCTCAACCTCCATTGCTGCAGTTTAAGCCCATTGCTTCTTCTCCTACCGTCAGAGGCTATGGAGAATAGTATTTCTCCTTTCTCGTAGTAGCAATGTTTTGATCCTTTTTAGGCTGTAAATAAAAGACTTTCTGAATTAAAATAATGGGAACAGGCATGGATGAGTCATGAATTAACTGTGTTGCCACTTTTTGGGTAGGTCTTAGGAATTCTCTTTCCCAATAAGCTGTGCAATGCCTGGGCGCCGTTCTGCATTGGAGAAAGGATATGCCGTCTAAGCCAAGTTTGCAATCTCAGTTTCGTAGGGAATCAAATGGATGGGAGTCCACTTGGTTTCAGTGTATGATTATTCCTTTTCTCAAATGCCAGATCCATCACACAGGGAACGAGAAAGGAGAAGACCAACGTGCACCTCATGGAGGAAGGAGAAGGGAAAAATCAAACACCAGTTTCTGAATTCATCCTTTTGGGATTTGGGAATCTCCCTGAACAGCAAATTATTTTTTTCCTCCTGTTCCTAGGGATCTACATTGTCACTATGTTGGCGAACGCGCTCATTGTATCTCTGGTGGTGGCTGATCAGCACCTCCACACCCCCATGTATTTCTTCTTGGGGAACTTGTCCTGCTTGGAGATTTGTTGCACCTCTACCATCCTGCCCCGGCTGCTGGCCAGTCTCCTGACTGGGGACCGGACCATTTCGGTGACCAGCTGTATGGTGCAATTCTATTGGTTTGGTTTCCTAGTGACGGCGGAGTGTTCCCTGCTTGCGGTGATGTCCTATGATCGCTACCTGGCAATATGCAGCCCCCTGCACTACGCCATCCGTATGAATAGCAGGTTCTGTCTGCAGCTAGTGGCCGGATCTTGGCTGAGTTCATTCGTAATTCTCACCACGCTGATTTCCGCTATGTCACAACTAGCCTTCTGCGGCCCTAATGAAATTGATCACTTTTTCTGTGATCTGGCACCTGTGATTAACCTGTCCTGCAGTAACACCAGCTTGGTTACCTTGGTGA